CTTGACTGCCTGCCTCCTGGGGGGAGTGCTCAGGGCTGTGACTCAAGTTCATGAGGATGCAGTGGTGGCCTGAAAGTATAGTTCTCTTGTCCCCACTGTCCCACCGTGCCTCTGGTTGCCACACGACCCTGGGCAGCTCCCTTGGTCTCAGTTTCCTTGTCTGTAAAACAAAGCTGAACCCCTTAGGAGTCCTTGGGTGGGTGAAAAATAATACGAATGCAGCCACTTCAAAAATGGAGGTGGAGCTGCCATTCCAGAGTAACTGCACCTCTTACACCTGAAACCTTTGCAGTATTTGAACTGGGCAAAATAACCTTCGAACTGGCCGAAAGCAACATGGTATTCCAAACCACTGTGCAAAGTTAACAGGGAAGCAGACATTCTGACTCCCAGACTGAAAATTACAGACATTCTTTAGAAGCAGCATCAGCGCGTGCAGCTGAAGATAACTTCGCTTACTTGCACCTTTAGAAGTTCCTTCCTTGACTTATTAACAGCAATAGGAATTCCTTCCTTCTGTTCATGTAATTATTCCCTTTCCCGTTCTCATAAAGACTTTTTAGTCCTAGCCGGTTTGGCTCAGTGGTTAGAGCGTCGGCCCGCGGTCCAGAGAGACCCGGGTTCGGTTCCCGCTAAGGGCACGCACCTCGGTTGTGGTTTGTCCCCGGCCCTGGTTGGTCGTGCGGGTGGCAGCCACTCGATGTGTCCCTTTCACGTCCATGTTTCTCTCTCTCTTCCTCTCTCTCCCTCCCACTCTACCTGAACAAAGGGTGGACAAATGTCCTCAGGTGAGGAAAAAAAAAAAGACTCTCTAATCCGAACATTATTTGGGTTTCTGCCTGAATCAGTGCTTCCCAAATAGCAACTCATTTGGATTCTCTCTGTCTCCTGTCTCTGGCCCTGTGTGTCTGCCTGGCTCCTCTTCCTTCCACAGACCGGCCTCCTCAGCCCCGCAGGCCGCCTGGCAGGCCGGGGCTGCCCTTGAGCACAGAGCTCACCCCCAGGCTCTAGATGCTCAGTGGGCCCACCTCAGTCAATTTCCAGGAAGACTGGTCACAGGTGTATCCAGTGACCTGTAGCCAAAACCATGGCAGCTGCTGGGAGCCCCAGTGCTTCCCAGGAGTTCCACGGCAAGAACAGGGCCGACACCCCTAAATTACCCACCCTGGAAGGAGTCTGAAAGGTCTTGATTTAAATCAGTTCTCAAAGTCGAGTGTGTATCAGAGTCCCCTGGAGGGCTTGTTACACATGGAGCTTGTGGCTCAGCAGGTCTGGGCTGGCAGAGCCTATGCAGCTGCGTGTCTAACACCTCTGACAAGGCTTCCAGTGCGTTGTTGCCCCGAGTGGGGTCCACAGCCGGCCGGCAGGTGAGAAGGGGCCGGAGCCCCGAGTCTGCGCCCAGCGCCCCGACCCCTCTGCGCCACCCGAGTTCGAGAATCACGGCTCTAAAATGTTTCGAAAGGTCAGAATATCTGTCCCCAACCTTGGGGAAATCAGAGATGACCAACGTCCTAGGTTGGTGGTGAATCAGTGTGTTTTCCTGACTAAAACCAACCAACTCCACTTTCTCCGAAGAAAACGAGGGTTCCCCCAGAAAAAGTCCAGCCTCTGTGGTGGGTAAGACGTCTTTTTTCCTGGGGATTTTCATTTCTTCCTGCAGGAGGAGACCGGGTCCGCCTCACGTCGGGGTTCGTTCCTCCGGGCAGATAAACGCGGGGAAAGAAGGGGGACGCGCCTTGCCCCGACTCCCGGCCTTCGCGGCCCCCGCCCCGCCCTGCGGCCGCCGAAGCCTGGCGGATCCACCAATGAAACGCCGAGGAACTCCATGACCTCATCGGCCGGTTCTCTCATTGGCTGCCGCCGCGCCGAGCCCGCCTCTTTCCTCGGAGCTCCAGAGAGCGGCGCAGGCCCCCACGCGCTGGGCTGCAGGCCATGGAGTTCCTCACCCGGTCTGCAAGCCTCGCGGGCTTCTCTTCAAACAACGGACCCTCAGAAGGAAAGTCTGCCCTCTGACAAAGGCTCGAGTGTTCCTTTCAGCCAACCAAAGTCCTGGTTGGCGGCGCTGACCTTAAGTGAGCGTGAGCTGGTGCCATCGTCGTCCCCGTTCCTTTCCTAGGTGCCCAACAGATCATCCTCCTCGCTAACTCTAACCATGCATCGAAATGAGTTTTGTCTGGCTTCTCAGTGGATGGCTTTCTCAAGTCCCACCTCCCTGTGGGATGCTAGAGATCATCCCCCACAGTTAATTAACGTGGGAACTAACTACCGCCCAGGCAGGGGATAGGACTTTCAGGGTTACAGAGCTGCAAATCCGATCCAGGCCTCCTACCTCCCGCCGTCAGTGTGGACACCTCCCTCCGTCCCCAGCTGCTGCCTGAGAGCCAAGAAGGGGGCCACAGCCCAGGGACCTTGGCTTGTGGGAGGCCTCAGGTGCCAATGAGGGGTATCCGGGGTTTCCTCACATTCTAGCAGCTGCTTAGGTTTCACTTTGACAAGACAGAATCGTGGATGGGAGTCCAGCAGCCTCCTGGAGCAATGATCTCATTTTACAAATGAGAAAATTGCAGGGTAGCTGCTAAGTCCGTTGGTGATGGGCAGAGGCAGGACTTGACCCAGGCCTCTAGCTCTTCTCATCCAGTGATGACCTCCAAATGCCGAAGGAAGGGAATGCAATGCCCGCGACTCCCCAGGGAACAGTCCTGCACGGTTATCCTACTGCAAGCAGGCATCCGATTTAGAGTAAGAAAACAATCAGAAGTGTCTGTATGCTTCTCTGGCTGCCCAGCTGGTCAGGTGATCTTTCCTTTGTTGTCATTTACACATATAAGTGAATATTTTGTCGTAAGCCACTCTGTGGCTTTCTGGAGGAAAGTAGGACATGTAAGGCAACAGGAAAGTGTCCTCTGAGTGTGAAAAAACACTCATGAAGATAAGGGATTCTTATCACACACATTTAAACCAAAAACCAACTTGACTGTTGTTACGGGGTCCAAAGCCTAGGGAAGGCCAGCATGCATGGAGATGAGGCGTGGAACTTCACAGAGCAGGTCCAGCCTTGTCCTGGGCAGGGGGACACAGATGTAGGACATGTGGATAGTCTCGGCCCTGGGGAGGTGGTCTCAGGAATGGGACTGAGACAGCCCACAGAGCTCTTCCAGGTGATGACCTTCTTGAGATTTTCCCTGCTCTGGTTTCAAGTCCATGTTCACCAGACAACCTCCTAACAACCATTTCAGCTTTGTATGCATCCTGACACTGGGAACAGGGTCTCTGGGTATGAGATGCTGGGGGCATGGCTTCCATCATACATGAAAGTCGGCATGGGGTGTAAACAGTGTTCTCTGATGGGCGTCATTAGTGGGAATAAGTGGAGCACCCTGGAGTACCCACATGTTTCTGGACTCACAAAGCTGAAGGCCATCCTAGGAACAGACTCTCCTCAAGGGGCCAGCCAGCCCCTCCATCTGTCTCTCCCTCTCAAGTGGCAGCAGCTGGTAAATTAGAAACACCAGCTTCAGTGCTTACACCGAAGTAGCTCAGCAAGGTACCCACTGGTTTATCCCTACAGTGGGAATCATGGTTCTAGGCAGCAGCAGGTGACACTTGGGAAGAAAGTCAGGAGATCTTCAAGCGGGGTGTCGGGGTGGGGGGCACAGAGTTGTCTTAAGTCATCCTCTGAAATCCTGCTCAAAACAATGGCACTGATGCAGCTTTCACAGGTAGCAGCCTTGTTTGTCAAGGCACCTGGGCACTGGAGCTAGAAACCTGGAAGATGGGTCATTCAAATGTGATAGTCACAGCGGGAGTATCACACACCAGAGAAAAGGAAGGAGCCAAAGACAGCTTCGTGCTACAAGGACAAATCCAGGAACATGATAAGCAAAAACACAAGCTACAGAACGGTGCCATCTTTAGAAAGTGTGAAATCAAAGAATATCGTGTGCAGGGGTACGTATTACACTCACATTACAAAGGGTGGCGGAAAGTGAGTTTGGTGGGTGATAAAACTATTTTCTTAAAAAGCAAGGGTATAATAAATACAGAGATCAAGCTGGTGGTTAACACTGGGATAGTCAGTTCCCTGGTGTTCATTTTACTATTTTATTACATAGGCGCCTCTTGATTATATGTTTTTGTATGTATCAAATATTTCATAATTAAAAACCATCCCAAAGCACTGCAGCTGTCATTACTCAAGCCCCAGGCCTGCGAGCTGGGGCCTGGTTTCCACATTTCCCATGAGCACCGCTGCAGCGCCTGCCCACAGGGCCAGCTGCCCGAAGCTCAGGCAGCCAGATGACAGGGCTGCTGCATGGTGAGGTCAAAGGTTAGGAGTGACTGTCCTTTTCTGCTTCGGGATGTCGCCTCCCCCTTAAACCCATCTGCTTCAGTGAGCCGATTCCCAGCTCTCTGTGGGCCTGTCCACTGGGATGCCGAGGCCTGGAGTCCACCTGTCCAGCTCAGCCCCACCACCTTCCTTCTGCTCGTTTGCCATTCGACAAATATTTACTGAGCACCTACTGTGTGCCGGGTGCCGTTCTCAGTGCTGGGATGCGGCAGTGAACAAAACCACACAAAAATCCCTGTCTTCATGGAGCTTACACTCTAGTGAAGGAAGACAGAAAAGAAATACTACATAACAAACGTTAAGTCAGGCGGTGACAAGAAGAAAACCTCAGCAGAGTAGTAAGAGGTGAGGGAGCTGGTCAGAGAGGACCCTCTGAGAAGGTGACCTTGGGCAGAGACCTAAAAGGAGGGAGGGAGACCTGGTGGCTACCTGGGGAAGAGCCTTCCAGGCTGAGGGAGGCACGAGGGCCAAGGCTTTTCCTCTCATGTGTCTCTGGTCCCCTAAGCCCCTCTCCCTCCCCCCCACCCAAGCCAGCGCTCACTCAAGCCCTCTGCCCCTCTGCTCACCTCTTCTTCCACTCTGAGTGTACAGGGGAAAGAGGAACTAGGGGTTTCTAGACCACAGAGGCACCCCCACTTGCACTGACCTTCTTTCTGGGGCTATTGCCGGGCTCCACTGTCCCCCAAAGGCTGCTCTTCTCAAGAAATCAGCCTGGAGCCATTGTTCCCTTGACTCCTTTCCTGCGGGGTTGGGCTACAGGCTGATTTTTCACATCCTTGTCAAGCCTGTAATACCAATACCTGGAAAGAAGATCTTGGCTTAATTACTATTATTAGCACAAATGACATCCTACTCCTGAATTTCCTGAGTGCCACCTGCAGGTAAGCTCACCTGGAAAACAATTTGGGGACCCTCTCCTCATGCAGTCACTTTCTCTGTGCTGTCGTGGGAGCTCCCAGAGCAGCCTGGATGGTGGGTAAGGACCAAACCTTGCAGGTGTGGGAATGAGCCCAGAGACTGAGAGGTCCCGCTCTCTGACACCATACAGTGAAGGCTCAGAAAGTTCTTTCCCTCTGCTGGGTCAGCCTTTGCTCTCAACCTCTATACCCCAGCAACCTCAGCACTCAAGCAAATGGTCTACCGTCTTCTGGTGGGTGTCTGTCACTTCTGTGGTGGCCTGCAGTGAAGGCGGAAGCCTCAAATGTAGTCATAGTTGTATATTTATTATTGTGCTAAATCCTAAAGGAAAACATTTGAAGGCTGATTCTAGGCCTTGGAGATGTCCAGCTTCATTCATTCATTCACTCATTCACTCACTCATTCATTCATTTCTCATTCAATTCCTACACTGTGCCAGGCCCTACACTGGGTGGAAGGGGTACAGACACAGAATGACAGCTCACATTCTTTGAACTCTTAAGGCAGCGGTTCTCAACCTGTGGGTTGTAACCCCTTTGGGGGCCGAATGAGACCCCTTTCCCAGGGGTCGCCTAAGACCATCGGAAAACACATATTTTCGATGGCGATTCATAACAGTAGCAAAATTACAGTTATGAAGTAGCAACGAAAATAATTTTATGGTTGGGGGTCACCACATGAGGAACTGTATTAAAGGGTCGCGGCACTAGGAAGGTTGAGAACCACTGTCTTAAGGTATAACAACACCGTGTTATTGCTTTACCTGCATTTCCTCATGTAAGTCTCAACCAGCTCTACAGGACAGGCTTGTAGCCGAGGCGCTGCAGGAATGGAGGGGTCAAAGCCACTGTCGAGGCAGCACCCGCTGAGTCAGGGTTCCAGCTCCACTGTGCCCTCATGAAACCACAGGCCTTGTCCTAGAACTTGTCAGCTACCTGGGAAGAGAGATGGACACCAATAATTTATACTACAGTGTGCCAACTGAGGCAGTATAAACATTAGTCATTATTACAGCAAAGTTTGCCACGAGAAAGTCCTATCACAGAGGAGATACCACTGCTGTGGGAATCACACAGGGTCGGTCAGATATTGAGTAAGTCTTCTTGGTGACCTTGGGCTGGGTCTCAAAGAATGAACAGGTATTTCCTTCCTGTACCAGAGGAGAGAGAACATTCCAGGCAAACACATGGAGAGACAGATCTCTATGCTGGAGTTGAGGGGACAATAAACAGGTCTGGGTGGACGGGAAATTTCTCCAGTGAAGATTGCTTCTCCTTCCCTCCGTATTCCCTCTTGGTGGAACCAAAGGGTCCCCTGTTGAAATTTTAACATTCTATTTCCCCTTTCCTTGGGCTGTCCACAGCGTCTGAGGTCCATCAGGTCAAACTTGATCACCTCGTTGGCCTTGGGGGGTGCCTGAAGGTTATGATGGTCACATCAGAAGGCATCTCCTGATCTTTTCTCCTCACATCTCTCAATGTCTGAATTTCTGCTTCCTCATTAGTAAACCTGGGTCCACTCCATCTGTTGTTTCTCAGAACAGCCCCAGGCTGCCGAGGGGCTGAGAGATGACCTTGCATGGGAGAGTGCTGGGAAGGCTGGAGGGAGGTGCCTAGAAGGGATGATGCTGATGATGACTTGGTGCTTCCTCACACCTGGTGTTTCAGACTGTCGGCTCTGTCCTCGAATGGATCTGAGCTCCACCAAGGAAGGAATTTTGTCTGTTTAGTGTTCCACTGTATCTCCGCACCTAAAACAGTGCGTAGCACATAGTAGGTGATCACAGCATAGTTACTGAAGAGCTGAAAGACTGCACACTCCCCCAGCTCTGGGTCTCCAGGGCCAAGACGAGGAAACCCACGGGTGACTTTGCATTCTTCTCAGACAGACGGCAAGGGAGCTGGCTGGTTGCCTGGCTCAGTTCAACTCAACAGGCATTTGTGGAGCCCCTCCCTGGCCAGGTGCTGTGTCTGCCTCAGATGGATGACGCTCAGTCCACCTCCAGCCGCGTGGCAGTCAAGGCTGTCAGGGGCAGAGGGGGGCCTACTAAGGGGCACATGCCAACTCAGGCCCAGACGGAGCTACTGGAAACCTGAGAGGTCAGGACAAGCTCAGGCAGGCCTGCCCCTCACACCTGCCCCATACCAGGCCCCAAGCCACCAGCCAGGCCTGTCCGGTGACCTTCCCCCAGGTCGCTGCCCTCTCCAGGCCCTATTCCTGAGGTTCCTCCCTGATCCCACTCCCAGTTTCTCCCTTCCTCCATCCAGTTCTCTCCCCCTCTCCCCCCTGGCCCTCGTCCTGCCCTGACCCCCGAGCCCATGACCCCGACCTTTCTCCCCTCCCTCCACCACCCCGGCTCCCCACCCCTTCCACCTCGGTGTGGACCCCAGCCCTCTGCAGGCCCTGCTCATGGGCCTCCCTCACCCCCCTGACCTCCGGCTCAATGGCCCTTCCCCAGGCCCCGCTCTGGCCCCGCGCTGCGGCTCCGGCCCTGGCCGGCAGGGGCCGCTCCTCGCGCCGCCCGGGGCCCCGCCGCCGCCCGCCTCCCCGCCCCTTGCCCAGCCGGCGCTCCCGTTACGCCGCGGAGCCGGGAGCCGGAGCCCGAGCCCGCGGCGGCGGCGGGAGGCGGCGAGGGGCGCCCGGGCAGCGGCGGCGGGGCCTGCGGGGCCTGCGGGCGGCGGGCGGCCCGGCCAGGCCGCGATGGCATCCAGGAAGGCGGGCTCGCGGCTGGAGACGGAGATCGAGCGCTGCCGCTCCGAGTGCCAGTGGGAGCGGATCCCCGAGCTGGTCAAGCAGCTGTCCGCCAAGCTCATCGCCAACGGTAGGCGCCGGGCGCGCCGCAGGGCTGCGTGGGGAGCCGCGGCCTCCGCCGGTGGGCCGGGCCCCCGGGCGCGGGCAGGGGCGCGGCCGGGCCGCGAGGGCGCCGCGGCGGGGTGTGCGCGGGGCCGGGGCCTGGGGAGCCCGGGGCCCTGGGAGTCACGCGGCGGGGCGTCCAGCAGCGAGGGCTGGTGCCCGGCGCCCCCGGGTCGGGCTTCTGCGCAGTCTGGAGGAGGGGTCTCGGGGAGTGGGCTGCTGTACTGGGGTCCCAGGGGGGCAGGGGCCGGCCTCGGGGTCCTAAGAAGTTGGAGGTGATGGGGGAGGCTGCTCCCGAGGACACGGGTGTGAGTGTGTGGGATTCCAGGGTGTGTGTATGGTGTACTCAGGGAGTCAGGATGTTGAACAGGGTGTTGAACAGAGACCCCTGGGAAATATCGTTTGTAAACATACGGCGTTCAAGGGGCTCCAGGTGGAAGCTCAGGCGTGGGCTGTGCGTGGCGTGGGGGTGGAAGGCAGGCTGAGATGCTTGTCCTGGGGTTCGGAGAGTGGGATGTCCACGCTGTGGACCCAGGGAGGTCAGGTTTAGGAATATAGGGGAAACAGAGTCAGGGGAAAATATTACGGAGAGAGACGGGGATGTGGTGGAAGAATGTTGGGCAGTGGGGTTGGGTAGGTGAGGAGCTTGGTGCTTAGAGTGTCTGAGGGAGCAGCAACCTGGTGCCTGGAGTTAGTCCATGACCCCAGTGACTGAATTGGTACTTGTATCCAATCAAATCTAAATTGTATCCAAAAATCCCACTTCAGAGCATAGCTCCACGTGGCCTTATTTGTTTTGGAAGCAGGTAATGTTGATATTTGCTTGTCTTTTAGTACCCGCCAAATCCATGGGTACCGCGGACTGCAGGGAGGACAGAGGTGTTGTCTTATTTCATCTCTGGCTTCCTGAGGCTGGGTGAGCACCTGCTGGCTGAGCAAACGACTGTAAGGACGAATGAATGAGTGACTCTGCTCTAAGGAAGGACATCCGTACTATTTTCAACCTTCTCACCTCAAACTACCCAGAAATAGAGGGATGTCACATGTCCTCTTCAAGACCAATTCATCTCTGTGCCTTTTATGGTATTCTCGCCTTGAAATAAGGACTTGGTTCTGCACACTCTCAGCCGTGGTGCTGTGCTTTGGGCAGGTTGCTCCTGCGTGAACGCAGGTGTCATGGTCGTGCCAGGGGCGTGGAGGAAGCACAGACCTACCTGGGCTCAGCATGGTGCAAATGCTAACATGACTGACAAGGACTGAATTCTTCTCAGTTAAGTTAGCATTTGAGGAAAGGGTGTTCAGTCCCAGGGGCGCCCATGGCAGCTTGACTGGACCCTCCCTTAGGGCTCCCTGGCTTGTCCTCGTGAATCTCTCCTTACCTGCAGCCTTGTGTCATTTCTCCTCGGAGTTGGACAGTCCTTCTTGGAGTTGGGTTTACTTTGTCGCTTTCCCGCTCTGGGGGCTATAATACTTTCAGGGCAGGCTCATGTTAGGGTGAAATGGGTTCATGTGTGAGCCCCCTGGTGTTTTCCTTCAGAGCCACTTGCTTTCTGCTTTATTTACTCATTCATTCCACTGGGGTTTGTATGCCCACCCGTGCCAGGCACAGACAGGGGTGAACAGCACTGACCAAGCTCTTACTCTCATGTGCTAACCCGCCTTTGAGGAGACAGACACTAAACAAATATGGAAGTTAATAAGCAGGAGAGCTTCTGATAATAAGTAATTTAAAGAAAACAAATGAGTTAATGCAACGGAGAATGATGCGTAGGTGAGGACCGGCAGCTTAAAGCGCAGTGGTCTCTGGAATGAGGGTAGATGGGCTTCTGGTGGCATGGCCCATCGTCCCAAGATGTCTCCCTGTCCAGGGCCTTGTTCCTGTGGCCTAAGCCACAGTCCCTATGGGTCTTGGCGGGGGGGGGGGGGGGGGGGGGGGAGGGGTTGTGTGGGGCACTGTGGTCCATGGGTCTGTGTGCAAGGTTGGTTTTAGGAAACTCATGAGGGATAGATTTCTGCCCCAGAACCCACATGGTGAGCAGTAGCCATTGATGACAAAAGGTCATCCAGACTTGAAAAGGTCAAAGAGATTGTTCAGGAAGATATTTTAAAAAGAGAGAGAGCAAAGAAAAAGATGAATACACACAATTATTGTGGCTGTGCTTTGGCTTCAGAGAAATGTTTGAAGGAGGGTCCTTCCCTTCCTTTGGCTGATAGGGGCTCCCTTGAACGGGTGGTGGGACTTCCTCCTGGCTCCGAGAGCATCAGCTCCCCCTTAGACCCTCTTGGATGCCCTGGACCTCAAGCTTCTGGACAGATTTGGTAAAATTCTCAAGCTGCTTAGAATAGGGAAATGAGTTAGTGCTGTGTTTGTCACACTACGACAGTTACCCTGGAGGCAGCTGTTCTGAGCCTCGGTTTCCTCATCGTAGAATGGGGACTCAAAGCCTAACTTTGCAGGGGTTGTTATGAAGCTCAAAGGAGCTAATGACGGCCCTGGCTGGTTTGGCTCAGCAGTTAGCGCATCAGCCCGAGGACCAAGGAGTTGCGGGTTCGATTCCGTTCAAGGGCATGTACCTCGCTTGAGGTTCATCCCTGGCCCTGGTCGGGGTCATGTGGGAGGCAGCCAATTAATGTGTCTCTCACATCAATGTTTCTCTCTCTCCCTCTCTCCCTTCCTCTCTGTCTGAAGATAAATGGAAAAATAACCTCGAATGAGGATTTTTTTTAAAAAAGGAGCTACTGACTTCCAGAGTTAGCCGCAGAGCCTGACACCTTGTGGGCCATTCATTTCACAGATACTGAGTACTTGCTATGTGCCAGCCACGGTTTTAAGTGCTGGGGATGTATCAGTGAACAAAATAGGCAAAAATAACAAACATCCCCGCCCTTATGAAGTCCACATTCTATTGGAGAGGGGGCAGGGAGACAGATAAATAAACTCATTAAGTAAAATTTACAAGATGCCGGGTGGTGGGAAGTGCTATCGGAAGGATAAAGGGAGGAAGAGGGAAAATGCTCTGGGAGTGGGGGTGGGGGCCCAGGGACAACTAGTGTGAAAAGGGGAGCTGGGGAAGGCTTCACTGGGAAGGCAGCCTCTGAGAGGAGACCTGAGGTGGGGAGAAGCAGGTTCCAGGGAGGGGACTTCAAGGGCAGACGCGGGGCCAGATCACATGGGACCTCTTAGGTCATGGTTAAGGCTTTGACTCTTCGGAGTGAGACGGGAGCCACCGGAGGCTTCAGAGCAGCGGAATCCCTCGTTCTCGGTGCCCCTTGCAGCCGGCCTCCCGGCCCAGCAGCCTTCACTCATGGGAAGGAAGCACGCTGTCCCCTCCACTAGCTCTCACTAGCGGGCACCTTCAGAAGGGGCTGCTCCAGCCTGACTCCTTTGAGATAAATTGGTTCAGACCGTTTTGCCAAGAAAAGGAAGAAAAGGGCAAATGCCAAACTGAAAAGAGAATCCAGACATCCGTTTTCTGCCTCCTACTCCACCATAGTCACCACTTTATTGTATTTTTTAATGTATTTTGTTACTCCTCACCCAAGGATATTTTTTCCATTGATTTCTAGACAAAGTGGAAGGGGTGGGGGAGGAGAAGAGAAAGAGAGAGAGAGAGAGAGAGAGAGAGAAACAGAGAGAAACATTATGTGTGAGAGAGACATCGATTGGTTGCCTCCTGCGCATGCCCCGACCAGGGCAGGGGATCAAACCTGCAACCCAGGTATGGGCCCTTGACCAGGAATCGAACCTGTGACGCTTTGGTGTGCGGGCCGATGCTCAACCACTGAGCAATGCCAGCCAGGGCCACAGTCCCCACTTTAATTTCTCCATCGCAAAAACCTTAAAAACGTGGCAGCGATAAGCCCTGGCCTGTGAGTCCCAGCAAGAGAGTAGCCACACAAGATAAGGGTGGGAGAAAATGCCACTCCGGTCTAGGGTCTTGCTGTCGGAGGTGTGGTCTGGGGATTGGCAGAGGGGGCACCATCGGAGAGCATGTGAGGAATGCAGACTCTCAGGCCCCACCCCGGACCTACAGGGTCAGACTCTGCATCTTAACAGGGTGTCCAGGGAATTAACTCATGGGCACAGGCAGTGTGAGATGCCCTGGCCTGGAGCTGAGGTGGCAGCCTGAGGGGTTAGGATACAGATGGGGAACATCAGCTTCTTGTTGGCTCACAGGTAAGTCCTGGTTCCAGGGGGCAGTCTCAGCTGCCCTCTCTCCCCAGAGTGTCACCCTCCAGCCTCCCAGTGGCGGGTTCACACTGTGTGAGGAAGTGCAGTGACCCGGCCCCTGGCCCTCAATTCAGACACTGCCTGCAGCTGCTGGGTGACCTCGAGCCAGGCCCTCTGAGAACTCGCGTTTCCTCATCGGTAAGATACGGTCATCACGCCTACACCATTAGAGTGGCTGTGAGGGTGTACACCTTGGTACATGGGAGAGGCTGCTCTTCACTGTCCCACGTCCTGGATTTCACCTGGTTGGGAAAAGGGAGAGCAGGAGACCTAGAAAGGACACACCGAGCTTGTGCCTGGTCAGGACTCCACATGTGTCCATGACAGGAACAGGCGTTTGGGAGGCCTGTGTCAGCCCCAAAGGACAGCCACTCCCTTCCGAAGGCGGTGTCAGCTCCCCTCCCTTCCCCAGTGGTTAATCTGCTTAGGCACAAGCTCAGCTGTTGAGCACACTTAGAGCAGTCCAGCTCCAGATGTAGTTTCTCCTTTAAGGGATTATCACCCTTCTGATTAGGTGTGATTTTGAGACATTTTAATTAGGGAAATGGTGCCCGAAACAAAGATTATTTCTGGGGTAAAGTTTGGTTACGGAATGTATTTAGACCATCGAGTAGGCGTAAAGTTCTTGGATTTGCCAAGAGCTGATACTCACGATGGCATTGTTGCCTCCAGCCCATGGCTTCCCCTTCTGGAGGGGGCTGGGCTCCTGGACCCGTCTCTGGTCTCACTCAGACCTC